ATGTTCTCCAATGAAAGGACACCTTAATAAGTTTTTATATATTAGATACAGTGGCCTGCAACCACAACTTTGATGTATTTTATTGTATTTTTATGTAGTACAGCAGGGGAAAAGCTCTGAAGCCAGTTGTCATGTTTAGACTCTCCACTGAAGCTTTTTTTTCATGCATCCTCTCTTTGGCATTTCAGGGTTAACATATAGAGAAGATGTTTGCCTATGTGTTCCAGGGCAGACTTGTCCTACAAAGGCATGAGTTGGTATTCTAATTGCATAATTCACTTTACTAAACCAAGACTGCGTCCTGCATCAAAGTGGGCAGGCCACATTGATGAAACAGTAACTTGTGTTTGTCTGATCTTCAGTCATTTGGATTATATGCATGTCAGTGCATGTGGATCTGTGTGTGTGGGTGGGTGGTCAGAGTGTATGGTAGGAATTATTACTTTACACAAGCAGAGCCCTACAACAGACCTCAGCCACTTCAATGTTGCCGTCAGAGGCCCCCAAGTCGTCCCCACATCTCTTGGGGCAACATCTCTTGGGGCAAGAGCAAAAGAGGACCACGACAAGCCCCTTTAACACCCTCCCTCCATCCCACAGTGTTTGCTTGTGTAACTGTGGTAATGTGAAGAATTAGGAAAAATTCAGATTTGTTTTATAACTGGGATTTTAGCTGGGGTGTGCAAGCCTCTTCTGCCTGCTGAAAGCAGGTTTAACCCCAGAGCCCTAAGTGAACGATGGACTCAAACTGCATTCCTCGAGTCCTGCAACTTCTAGCTGAGTCCCTTGAATTAAATGTCAACATTTTTCCTGCAAGAAAAATCCTCTGTGCTGTTGCTCCTACCTCACAGTTTTGTGTTGCACTGCTTGAACGTATCACATGAAATACCAATAAAATAATTTTGCAGTTTGTTATTAAAACTTATGGAAAACCTCAAGGATGTTATTCTTTTTAAAATGGTAAAACATGTAAATCAGTTTGTCTGACAAAACTAACAACATGAATCATATTTTGGCAATTTTTCTTTTGCAGTGTTTTTCCGTTCTTGACCCTGCCGAATAATTTGTAGCTCAAGCAAAAGCTAAAGAATTTAGGGAACAAAGTAGATAAAATATTTGAAATATGTGCCTCGGTCAAGGCGGAACAAATTTATGCTGACTTGTCTCCAAAACTCCCACATTAAAAAGATGCAGACAGAAAAACACACAGGAATCTGGCATGTAACCAAAGCCAGCAGCAAATCAGAAAAGGAGATGTCTGATCGGCTGTAGGATCATTAGATTCCAAACAAAACTACACCCAAAACCTGCACAAGCTGAGACACACAGCCACAGACGCTCAGAGGCAGAAGCTGTAAGATGTTCAACAAGGAGTGGGAGAAAGTGAAGACCAAAGGGGGAGAACGCTTCTTGAGTGAAAGGCCATCTGCTAAACCATGGCAGTGCCAGTTTCCTCGTCGCTCCCCATCGTTTGCACCTGCCAGCCTGCCAAAGCAACCTCAGGAGGACAAAAGAGCAAAACTTCACATGCAAGCCACACGTGCTTGCGAGCACAGACTCGCCGAGCTGAGCAATAATGGCATGCACACAGCAATAACTGGTGTGATTTGTCAGCAGCGTACTGTGTCTGAGTAGCTTTGGGTGTTTTTTCATGTTTTCCCTCCCGCTGTAACAATAGCACAACAGCACTTTATTAAATGAGAACAGGAGAGAACAGAATCGCCTGCAAATCAGCTTGTTTATGTGGCAGTTATTCAGTACGCTGCCGGCGAAGGCTGCAGCCAGAGTGAAAGTGTTTGAAGGTGAACATGGGACAGGAAAGACAGTATCTGAAAAGTGTACTTCTTTTTGTAATTCAATTCAAAAAGTGACACATTTTTGGTGTTAATTTTGAGTATTTTATTTGGCACCTAATGAAAGATCAATAATAAAAAAGATGTTTAATACAGAAGTGTCGGCTCACTGAAAGCATGTTCAGGCCCACAGTATGAAGATGTTTTGCCTTCTGACTCCTGCACAAATTACTGCATCAATGCGATGTGGCATGGAGCTGATCAGCTTTTGTCAATGCTGAGCAAACACAGATTGGTTTAATCGCCGTCTTCAATGTGTCTTCAGTCTAATGGTGTCATTTAGATTTCTCACACTGTTCCTCAAACAACATGGGTTAGTTTGGATTTTTTTCCCACTTTTTTAATTTTGATCTGTATTAGTTTGATTTAAATGATTTTCTAATTATTAAAATTCTAATAATTAAAATTGAAATATATCACTTCCAATGTAGTTTTTGTCCCTTCTTTGAAACAATTTATTGGAATTAATCTACATTTGTATCTTTCAAATACAGAATTATTGCTCCAAAAAAAAAAAAAAAAAAAAAAAAAAGAAGCAACCCTTAGTGCTTTTATTCAGTTTAATGATTATTTAAACAACTGGCATTTTGGAAGAGACGGGGGTCTTTCAAGTGCCTGGTAGAAAAATCAATTAAAATCTGGCTGCCTCTCAATGTCAATTTCAGCCCAATCATTGTTCATATTGAGCCGCTCTCAGCGAGTACACGTGATTGTCGATAGATTCATCCAAATGCAAATTCCAAGAACAAAACAGGAAATGAAAGCTGGAGAGTCGGAATAAGAGAAAAAGGAGAAACATGTCAGAGAGGGTGGGGGGAATTTGAATGACGGATAAGAGGGAAGAGATGAAAAACAGGGAGGAATAGACAACACAAGAGAAGATTAGTTTTAGATATTTCTCCCTCTACCCCCAATTCCTACCAGCTTCAAGGATGACAGTCCTATTGCACCTAACAGCGCAATCGCCCACCCATCATCTCCCCTTACCCTTTTCTCTCCCTGTTTCAAACACACTCACAATCTGCCTTTTCATCTTCTGCTCCTTGCACCTCCGCTTTCTTTCCCCTGGCTCTTCGCTTTCCTCCATCAATTTCCTCCAGGGCTCCACCTCCTTCTCTCTATCTTTCACATCATCTGAAAATGTGGCTCTCCAGCGGCACCATTATGCTTCAGATGTACCTCTCCCTCCCCCTCGGCTGCAATCCGTCAATCCCAGCACCTTTCTAATATGTTTATTCTCCACTTGTGTCTCTCCATTTCTCTTGCTTCTGTCCATCCTGACCAAATTTCTCTAAGCACACGCACTCTCGCACACGCGCACACACTCGCCGGCTTTGATCTTTGTACTCCGGTCACAAACAAGGCGCACACTCCCACCTGTGAGCACACGCATTTCGACAGATGTGCTTTAATAGAAAGCAGCCATCACCGCATCTTCCTCCTGAGCGTCCAAACCTCTCATCGGACGGAAGATAGAGACAGAGGGGAGGAGGAGGAGGAAGAGGAAGGTCTGAAATTGATGGTACGGCATCGACCTCTCCGTAAAACTTAGTTAACACCTCCCCAGCCGGTGAAATCTGATTAGATGAGTGTGAGTCTGTGTTTGTGTCATCACATGTGTTCATAACACAAAATATTTCACAGGTTTTTTTGTGTTTTTTTTTTTTCCTTTTTTGGGGGGGGCTCTGGGTGGGTGAACAAGCCTGTAATCCCTGCCTGATTAAAAACATGTTGATGGGTTCCCGTTTGCGTGCCCTAAGTGCTGTGTGTGTACGTGTGTGTGTGTTCCACAGCACCCCGAACAGTCTCTGCTGATTACATCCCTTCGAGTCAATAGTGAATAGAGCACTCAGCCTGATAAGCAATCACATGAATCAATACTAATGTTTTTAGCGTGTGTACATAAGCATGCGCGTGTTTACCCGTGTGTCATTCCTGAAATGCGGGTAATCGAGTCGGCGCGCAAGGTGGATAAACATTTGGTTACAGGTGTTGTGGTCACAGGTCCCCTCTGGTCCGTTACTTCCTCTCCAAAGAGCTTTTTCACCTAACACCTGATGCTTTCATTATGTCACCTCTTAGTGATCGGAGCTCTTTTTATCCCCCCCTACACACACACTCCTCCTCCAGTCTTTCCGTCTCATCTATTTCTCCTCTCTGGCCTCCATTGAGGCTGAGCATCAACAGACCATCTAACCTTCAAAGTGAGTGACCAAAGAAGTCCAAGCTTGTCACATTCAGCGGAGGCCAACCTTTAATCAGACTTTTTGGTAAATGTCAGTGATGGATGCCCTCCTTTTTCACACCTATGTGTAATCTCTCCACAGACTGATGTTGAGAGGGATACGAAGGGGAAATCAGATTATAAATACCGGCAGGTAAATGCAGCTTTAGATTGCAAAGCATGCATATGATTGCTCTTAGCAGTAAAATGAAGTGATCATCAAAAAGCTTCCTATGAAAATGTGTCACTCCGCTTGAACATTTTTGCATTTCTTTTAATAATAACTTTCTTCTAGCTATTTTTTTTTGAAGAGTGGAGTTTATGATTAATAATTGTCCTTTCAGCAGACTGTCTTAATGTTCCCAGTTTCAAGTTGTTGACTGAACAGCGCTGAAAACATGCTTTAACTTCTCCACTGTTCAATCCTTGACCTGTTTGGCGATTCTCAGTCTTCATGATAATGTTTGGCAGCATCGTGATGTGTCAGTGTGAGCAATGAAGCTAAACAGGAAAATGAGTAAACCACTTAGAGACTGTAAAACACTTGACACATCTCAAAGACCCTAAATATACAGCCAAAGCTACAAGGCAATTGCTGAGATCAAGGGACATTCATGTGTTCGTGTGTCATTGTCAAAGTTCAGAGCTGAATCCCATTGCAATTGCAAATCCGTGGCGTAAAACCTACGACTTAAAGTAAAAAAAAATAAAAATAAGATGTACAAAACATCTTTAGAACAGAACGGTGGTTCTAAAATGTATCTCACAGGGGTCAAGTACAAAACAGCTCCACACTTCTCAGATTTTAGTTCTAAAAAACAAAATGAATTAACATTGCTTGTGTCTCATTTTACTTGCTGTACTGTTAAATTTTACTTTCATATAAAATTTTGGGTTTTTGGGTGTCCATGTCTTTCCCTTACCTTCCACTAACAACGAAGCAGGTCACCAAGAAGATGAGGAGAACAATCCCTCCTGCAATGGACACAACCAGAATGGTGGACTGGTTTGGGTCCCCAATGGCCAAGACGTCTACAGAACCAGGAGGGGGAAAAAAAAAGTGAACGTTAAAAGTTTATTAAAGCAAGTCTTGGCGAGAAACGAATGAAGCCTATGGCATTTTCTGTTGGAGGTAAGGTGAGATTAAGGCAGGCCAGGAGTGAAAAGACAGAAAATGATACCACGGACGTGGTGAAGGAAAGAGAGAGCATGAAAAATTATAGTATTAGAAAAGACATAAAAGACAGAGGCAGAAGGGAGCGAGAGAGAGAGAGCAGCAAACAGACACACAAGAGAGCAAAGGGAGGTGGATGGAATAGTAAGTAATGCTCTTGATGAAAAGCTTTCTCCCTCTCTGTATCGCCTGTGAGAGTACAAGAGGAGACATGAAAGGCGTTGCTATTCGGCGGCGCTGCCCAAATGGATATGTTAACATTGCACATAACCAGGCTAACGCCAAGAACTTTCTGCAAAGACGTATCGATTTTTACGCCACACCAATCGAGCCATTACTCAAAACAAATACCCCCATTTATCTGGCTTAGCTGAGCATGAGCAGACATCCACGTCTGCAAGTGTGTGTGGCGCACATATGCATAATACGGTTGAGCATCTTGAGAAGTCATAATAACCCAGGTATTGATCTTCTGTTACAGTCGGAGGCTCGCACATACACTCATCGTTCTGTAATGATCAATGCAGCTGATCTAATTAGATAAGTTGCACGTGATTGGTACAAGATCAGCCAATTTACAATTTACGATGCCTTACTTTGATGTGAACCTGTTGTGTGAGGAGGCTGTAGACCACACAGACCCGTGCAGCATGTTGAGGCATCAAATTAATGATATTTGTTGGAGTGCCGGACAAGAAATAAGGCTCTGAAATACTTTTATTGACAATTGAATGATTTATAGGCTAATCCATGCCTTTTCTGTACTGCACAGTCAATGTACTTTGAAGCGCTACACATTTACTGATTCACTCCACTCTCCCTGCCTGTCTAAGAATCAATGATCGCTTTGAAAGCCACATTAAAGGCAGTAAAAAAAAAGAAACCCAAAGAGCTCATGATGAAGCAATATTAAAGGTGGCGAAATGGATACGTGACAGGGAGTTTGACAACTATATCATAGGGAATTCACATAGCATGAGGCTTATCTGGTCTGAAATAACAGGACTTGGGACAGTCAGCTCTGTGATACGAGGGCTGGGTATAAAAAGACACCTAAATCCTTGTTCTCTGAATTCATTCTGACTTTAGTTGGAGTAAACCTGTTCAGTCATTTCACTTTGCTCCAAAAGTCTGTTTGAATTAAGATCTCTAATCCAAACCCCTATTCACATTTTTCTCTTTCTTGTCAAATTGATTTGTCTTTCTTTTATCGGAAAAGTATTTCAGCACACTTTGAAGCCACTGGCTCAAATTTGTGCACGACAACATGTGAGACTGCCAGCGCGTCTCTGCCTAACAGCCAAACCGAGGAAGGAGCTGGGGGTGAAAAACAGGAAACTTTAAAACCACAAAGTGAATTCATTTAGTGAATTGGAAGGAATGACTCATCTGATAATCATCATGGCAGCATACATGTGTAAATATCTCGTGGCATGAGATCTCGCAATATCAAAACATCATGTCAGGCTTCACTGTGAAATGGAGAGTGACTGGAAAGGAGTGAATTATTTTCTGTAGGTGCTGTCTGCTATAAGAAATATTTATAAAAATACACACTGTACTAAACAAAACTCATAATTATTTTCTCAATGTCTGACATTACATCAGACTTTTCCAACATTGCCAACCAAAAATTCTCTAATCGCAAAATATTAGAATGCAATAAGATGTAAGACAGTTCAAACAATTATATCTGAATATAAATACTATCCAGCTATTGTTTATGTACCACAAAGCTGAAAACGATTTGGTTTTGAGATTGTCTAGAATTTTTTTTTTAAACAAATTTGAATAATAAACTGAACTCAACTCCACTGAAAGGTGCCTTGAAAATAACAATGAACTGGCACTAAATACATAAACTAAACTGAATTGACTTTCCCAGATAGAAATACGTTTGGTAATCCTAAGTGACCTTAAACAGTAAAAAAAAAAAAAAAGTAGTTGAATTGTACATGTCTTTGTTGTTTTTTCATTGTTTTTTTTGGATCAAAGGTTTTAATATGATTGAGAATTCAATTTGAAGTTGCTGCCCCAAAATTATAGAAAAAACTCAGTTTTGAGAAGAAAAGACAATGGAAGGAAAAAGAAGAAGACAAAATGTCTAAAACAAAAAAAAAATCAATAAAAATGAAATGCAATGTTTGTTTTTTTTACCCTCGTGGCTGGTTTCCAGTTCAATCTCCCCACCGTATGTCCCGTAGCCCCCATCAGTTCGAGCCCTGACTCTGAACACGTAGGTGGTCCCAGGCTTCAGGCCGTCCACTGTCATCATGTTGGATCGAGTCTTTAAAACCGTGTAGTTCTGTTCCCGCTGGTTCTGAAGAGGAGCATTAAACAACAGGAAATAAAATAAATACTCAAAACAAGGAAGACATAAAAATGAAAACGGTTTTGATGTAGAGCTCTGGTCTCAAGAGAGGCAGAATGAATAGAAATGTTTAAATCTAATAGAGCATCTTAAATTGTTGAATTTAGCAGTCTCTCGGAATCTAATGCACTTCGCATCATTTTCAGCACTTGTCCATTTGGCCACATTTATATTTGAGCATCTGTCAAATCCCAGATCTTATCTTCTCTTAACACTGGGGCAATATGTGATTGCTTAAGCTGCTTCACTTTGTTCCTCGATTACCTTCCAGGTGCGTGCACACACACTTAGGTGTGTGTGTGGGTGTGTGTATGCAGAGGGATGATGAGAGAACAAGTTTGTCCACCAGTAAGCTGAGAGGTTGATACTCCACCTAATGGAAGACCTTCTACAATACGGATTACCATGATTTTTGCTGTTTATACATGCCAGCACACACAGACACACAGCTCTAATTTCATCACCTGGGTTATGTTTTACAAGGTTTGTTGGACAGATGTGTGGTTAATTAGCTTGACGTGAGCAGTGGAGGGGATATGAGAAAAAAGGCAGAGGAACCAGAGCGATAGCGGCATGTTTGTGATGAAAAAGTCATTATAGACATGGCCTTAGGCTAAACCCATATCCTGCCAATATGTAGGCGGAGCACAAGGAAAACACGAATGAACATATAGTATTAAATCTGAAAAAGGCCTGCTGCAGTAATTTTGAAGTAGTTAATTGAGACAAAAAAAAAAAAAGAAACAATGAACAAATTTAGATTACTTGCATGCTACCTGTTATTGTCAAGACGTCTTTTAGGGTTAATAACATCCCCAACCAGATTTAATGTTCACATATGCTAAGATAATTCAAATCTTCTGGTGTAACCTTTTTTTAAGAGCTACAACATAAAAATAATAAATTTATATGCACAAATGAGAAATTTGAGAAAACAAATCTCTTTAATGCCACAGAAGATGCTGAAGCAACCACCAATTTCTCAGAGCATACAGCAATGTAGCACACTCCTCTTCCTGGAGCGGTTGCTGCACACTTTTGCTCAGCTGGCTGAAATCAGGCAAAACAAACCAGACTCCTACTAAATATCTACTTATATTAAGTTGTTGCACTTGATTTTTTTTTTCCCGATAAAAACCAAAACTGCAAAAAACATTGTCATATTTTACAGCAACAATAAAAACATTTATTTGATAGCAGATATTAAAGGGCTTGTATTCTGTAGTTTTGTTCTGATCTAAAGTAAAATGACTACAAAAGGTGGCCCTGCCTTGCATCTAGAAGATCTCTGAGTCATGGCTTTTCTCCACAATCCATAAAACATATATGCTCTGATAATTGTTCTATTTTAAGTTGCCCTGAGGAGTTAATGTGTGTGTCCTTCGTGTCTGTGTTGGTCTGTAAATGACTGTTGACCTGGTGATAGGATACGCAGGTCTAAATAAAGAATGGATGGACATATGGCATTGATAACCCTTTGAATGATTTCTAAAGAAGCTGACACTGCACAAACAAAGTGATTTTTTTCAGCAGACTGTCAGCATAATATAGAGCCTCAATGGCGTATAGGAAAGTTGATCTGTTGTATCCTTTGAGTGCTTAACCTCTGTCACTGAACATGCAGGAGTTTGGGCAACCTTTTGGACTTTTCAGCATTCTTCATTCTCTAGGGAACACACACATAAACTGTGGTTTCAGTCATTTTTAACCATGTTAATGAAAGACGTTAAACCCAAATTTTGGAGGTGTTCCAATATAATTATCAGCAGGTGAAACATGCATAAAAACAACAATCTGAAGTCTCTGACTGGTAAAACTCTACTTTAGAGTCTTTCAGAAATATTTTGATACAAATGTTTTGACTTTCCAGAGAAAGAGGGGACATTTTTATATCATAACACATTTTTTTCTACAAGAGAAAAATCTAATTATTTTGTCTCTATCAGCAGAGAACAGTGCTTTTCAGTGCCTCCCTCACCTTCTCGTAGTAGATGACCTCATACTCCACGATCACCCCATTAGGTCTCTCTGGACCCTGCCAGGCCAATGTTACACTGTCCTTGCTTCGCCTTTCCTTTAACACAACACTCACTAAAATGACAAGAAGAAAGCATGAGCAGCAAGCAGAAAGATAAGTTAAAATGATTACAAAAAAGGAACAAAAAAGCAGATGGTTTGGCTAAACAAAGACATCAGAAAAAGAATGCCTATGAAGCTTTATTGCACAAAGCCATATTGCAGCGTGTTTGTCATACATTTTGGTAATCACACAGCCCACGACGTGTTATGTGCAGCACACATGTGTTAGCGGCATTTAATGAAGCGCACATTTATGCTGCTCAGAGGAACATTATGTGATCTAACCATTATCAATGTGAAACCACTAAAACTGTGTGATTTCCTGTGCAGTGTTCCCACACTGGGACACCTGCTCTAGTGGGATGACGGTGTGGGTTGACTCGCCTGCGCCTGTATTTGTGTAAATGTGTGAAACTCGGGCTTATAGCTGTGAATAGCATGTGCAGCACGTAATGTGGTTAACAACCACCTCCACCCCTTTTCACTTTCCACTACACACACATCCACGCGTATAGTATGAGGCCTATTACTCATCAGCACCTTGTCATGAACGCCTATCTTTTACACAAATTTCAGTCCCACCAAATGACAGATGCACATACTATTATGCCTACAAGTGCAAGCATAGACACGTCAGGGTCATTTTGTGATACCAGTGATACAGTTCCTTACAATAGCATTCTAAATACTTTTACACATTTTAACATTTTCTCACTTTGCAATCTCAAATTTAAGTGTTTTTAATGTGATTCTGTGGGAAAACTAAAAATGGGATGTTTGTAGCTTTCTTTCTTCTTATCAATGTTTCATTAAGGCCAGCTAGAAGACAGCACAACTAATCATTGTAAAGTTCTGGCTCTTTGCAGCTCCTCCAGAGAAATTGTGAACTTCTTTGCAGCTTTTCTGATTTATACTTTATTTATCAATAACATGTAAAATACACTTTTGAAAGGCGCTGTTAGTTCACAAGGGAAACAAATTCTTAATTTTACACATTAAAACTTAGTATTTTTGCTCAGGAAATATAACAATCCGGCAGATTTTAGGTGAAAATGTTGTGTTTTATTGACGTTCATGTTACTCCAGTGAATGTGCATGTTCTCACCTGTCTGCGATGTTGTGACATTTATTACCACAGTGCCTCTGGGGGTCGGACTCAGATCTGAAACTCCGTTCTGGCTCTCGATTGTAAAGGTGTAGTTAGAATCCGGCTGGAGGTCAGTGATCAGCACGCTGGCTGACGAGAGCCCAAACTGTCTCGGGACAAAATGGACGCTGCTGCCACACGGTGCGCACTTCTTGCCTTCGCCGGAGCACTTTCTGCAGTGGAGGCTGTAGGTAATGTCCCCTCTGCCTCCTGTGTCGCGGGGCGGCGACCACTCCAAGGTAACGCAGGTCTCATTCACAGAGGAGATAGGGTTCTCTGGAGCAGATGGAGGACCTGATGGAAGAGAACAGAGAATGTATGTTTCTGCACGTGGAAAAACTTCATTCACTTTGTAATTGGAAAAAGAAGAAAGTTAAACCTTGTTTTTCCTACTCCTCAGCTATTTCCCTTTACATACTTTTTGAACACTATCAATAAAAAAAAAAGGATTGAAAACAATTTTTTTTAAATCAGAGGAGCAGAAGTGCCCACAGCGAAATTATAATGGAATCACCTCTCAATGTAGCTTTTAGCTTCTGCCCTAAAGCAGAGATGAATGGGGAGCTACAGAGTTACTGTAGCTCACTGTAGAGACACTGCAGTTTAAATAGCAACATGTTGCTATTTTCATGTTGAAGATAAGGGTTTACTTCCTGTTAAGTCAATTATGGAAGCTAAAACACAGCCACTTCTTATCGTACATCTAACCAGATGACAGGGTGTCGACTAACATTGGTTACTTTTGGTAGAATGTCACAATTCATTGTTTAGTCTTACACTAAATTACATGTCCCCTAAGTCAATAGCAGTTACCGACAAATGCATGTCTCCAATGTCAGCCTTTTGTAAATTATTCAAACAAATGGCTTTGTAGCTATCCTAATGTTAGCAGCGCAGTCTCTGCATTCTGCATATTCAGATTGAAAACAATGTCATGTTTGTATGTTACTTGTGCCTCCCAAACTAAAAAGACTGTCCCAAAGGTTTGTATCCATATTTCTGTATTGCTGCACAAGTTTCATTTGTTTTCAAAACATTTCACTTCCAGTTACAAAATGTATAAATGTATTGTGTAAACATTTTTCCTGTAATGATGAGTTGTTTTTCCATCATTAGAACATTTAACAGTGAATGAAGTTGACTGACAACACTAAGGCCCTCCTACTGGTTCTGATTGGTTGTTTTTGATTGGAACGTTGCATTTCTTTAGCCAGAAGTAGTAGCTCAGGGAGGAGGTGGAGGAGATTGATTGTTTTCACAAATGATCTGTGTCATAGCAAACTGTCATAAAATGGTACCAGAAGAAAACATATTTTCTAAAATCTTTCAGGAAGTTATTCACCTTTGTATTTAAACCAACAACTAAGTAAAGGTAATATCAATTTCTGTTCAACTCAAAAAGATTTTCTTGTCTATTTATTTCAAGAACGGTTCTAGGGTTGTTCCATGGCTGTCTTGGTCTGCTTTTGAGAAGATTCCAGCACATCGTCAATGAACACTGAGCTCATTCAATGCCATTCACTTTCCCTGGAAACCACTTGAGAGGAAGCCTCTGATTTTGGCTGCTTACAGCCCAGCGTGGTGCAGGGATCTCAGCCATATGAAAATTTTGCTGGACACAGATGCCAATTTCTCATGACATCTCATCAAGTCCCAACTGAGCAGCGAGCCCCAGGGGGCAGCGGGATCAGCGGGGCCTGGACCTTGTCTGATTGATCTCCCCGATAGCGAGCGCCTCTTTGTGGTAGATGACGGGTGGGTAAATGTTACTGAGCTGCTAATCCTGCCATGGTCTTTTTGCCATCCCCCAACTTCATTGAGTGATACTCGAGTCTGTTATCACCATTACTACTGATCAGCCTTTTTTGACACTTTTATGACTCTTAGATTATATGACTTTTATAGACTCCTATTACCCCCACTGTTCTATTCTTTTCCTGGGTTGCAAGTGTCATTCTCCATGTCTATGAATAATTCTTTCACCTTTTCTTCTTATTTTCTCATTTTTCACTCTCAAACCAGAAAATGGTGCTGCTAGCCACTCAGCAGAGCACATGTGTGCGTGTGTGTGTCTGTGGCCGTATATATTTGAACAAAACCGTTACTCATTTCCAGCTGATAACACCTGTCATGTCTCACCTGCTACAACGATTAATGAGTGTAATCTACCATAACCTGATAATGGGTTTGGGTATATCTGTCCACGCTTGAGTGTGTGCATGTGTGTCGTATGTCTGCACAAGTGTTCCTCCATACTTCCTTTTTTCTCTCCAACATGTCCAACATGCCACTGTAAATAAAGTCTTACTGTTTACTTTCCTGTGTCTTTTGAGAGAATGTACAAAACATAATGTAATATTTCTTTTACATTTTGTCAAGCTCTAAACACAAATGTTAGAGTATTTAATTAGTAGAGGAAATAATGACTTAATGGAAGGATGAAAAGAACCATGCTAAGGTGCAATTATACCTGCAGAGTTTAGGGACATGTCTCTATCCGCTTTCCATATCTAGAGACATTTTTGTCCAGTCTTCGGTTTCTTGGTTACAAAATAGCTGAGTTATGTTGCCAAGACAATATTTATAAACAATAGGTTGTTAAAAGTCTTGAACAGATTTATAATTGGAAATTCATACTGACTTGTAAATCTTACATTAATATTTTTCCAGACCAGTCCATAAAAATCCCCTGCCCTGTTTGGTGATGTTGTCCTGCTGGTCAGTGAACCTCTGCCCCAGTCTAAAGTGTTTTGCAGACTCTAACGGTTTTCTCTCAGGATTGCTCTCTAATTAGCTTCAACAAGCTTCCCATCTACTCTTGCCAGATTCCCTGTCATTACTAAAGAACAGTATCTGCACAGCATGATGCTGCCATCACTTTATATTACCTTTAGGACAGTTGGAGTTGAAAACAAAGAATGAAAATGTAGTGACTGCAATCACAAAACTATACTTCTTGGGTGCATGTGTTTGTCACTGTAAGTGTGCCGGCTGGGAAGTGTATACATTTAACATGGCAAAGCAGCCATGCATCACAAAGTCTTGTAAAAGTTTATAATCAACCTGTTAAAGAAGATGAAATCCAATATTTCCATAACATTAAAATATACAAATGAGCACAGGACACAAAGAGCATTAGGTCTGTTTGTGTAAATGAGATGTTCAATGTAGCAAAGTTTTTTTTCTTTTTCCAGTGTTTGTACTACTCACGTGTGCAAGCCATTGAACGCGGGTCGGTCTCAGCACGGTAGAACCCTTTCTCACAAATGCACTCCATGGCCTGTTCGTGTGGAGACGAGCTGTGAGGAGGACATTTGGTGCAGTAGGCATCTGTGGCTGAAGCTTTGTACGTTCCAGGTCTGCATGCTGGAAAATAGGATTCAATTATACAGACTTTAAATATTAGCCTCACAATAGCTGCTGAAGAATGACTTTATTCACTTTTGAAATTATAATGCCCACTGTGTATATGAGGTTTAATGCATTAGTTTTGGAATAAAGTTATCCCCTCTTCAGTAAATATTATATGCTTTGTTTGTGCTGCAGGTGCAGTGATGCCCCTCTTGGCCAAAGATGCCCTGAAATAATTTGTATCTATTTAGTCTCAATAATGATCTGAATAATTCTGCATTATTAAAATGTTTCTCCCACCGAAGCAATTACAGCAGTCTCTGTAGAAATCCAAAACATAAAAAAAGCCTTTTTGGCTCAGTTGCATGTTATGAATTATCTTTCAATAGCGGGAGCTTTTCATTTTTAATGATTCATAAATTAGAGTTCACTAGCCTAAAAAATTGAATATAATTAATATTATAACCATATTATATATGGTTATAATATGGTTAAATTGATATCCAAGAAAAAGAAAAACATGTAAAAATGTAGCCTTAAATAACAGTTTAGGGTTTTTGAAATGAGGTTCTGTTAAAAGGTTATAATGAATTAACATATTATCTTGAGTATGTGACGTTTAAGAAGTATTCTAGCATCTCTAAACAATTAAAGTCTGTTGATGTTGTTTATGCAATGATCATTCAAACCATCATCACATCAGCAAATATGCACATTTTAAAGCCGCTTAATTATTCACATGAAGGGTTATGATGTTCTTGAGATTTGAATCGTTCCAAGATGGTACAAGGTGACTTTATAATTGGCCCCTTTAGGACTAGAAATTAGTTTTACTGTTCGCATGTAACTAATTGATGTGTACAAAATAAAGATGCCATGAGAGTTATCTACTGCAAGTAAGAAATTAACACCTCATCATCTTTCAATAGATCCACATTGAAAAAAGATTATGCACTAACCATTTAAGGAGAACAACTAAAAAGTAAATCTTACAAAGTAGTGACTCAAGATGTTTCAATTTGATCTTTGCTGCTGGTAACAAAGAGTCTGTATTTGTGTCAGTCATTGGCAATAACGTAAAATACAATAATTAAATAAAAAAAAAAACAGCAGTGATTAAAAGCAGTGATTACCTAAATCTGACAAAAAAAAAGATTAGTTTTGTTTGCACAAAACAACAAATAACATTTTAAACCATAAGAAGAACAAATATGTCCTCAAGTTAAAAAAAGAAGAAAAAAACAAACTGCTGGGCCGTTCAGCACCCACGGCAAGGAGAAAGCAAACAATGTTGGATTTAATTTATTGTGACATGAGTTCCACAAGAGATCCTTTCTCATCAGGCTAAAGGCTTGCAGAACCACAGGCCGTTACACTACAATAACCCGACGCAACAGCAGATCAGCTGCTTTTCCTCCTATGTAAGAATTACATTTTGACAAAACCAGGAGAACAACAGTACACGGCCTCAGTCACAATTATAATCGCAATAACGTAGCACAACTGTTGCTCTTGGTGTTTCCGTGGTTGCATATTAGTCATTATGCGGAGTCCTAAAAGTGAGGAGGGAAAACCCAGATATCGCTCAATAGAAGCAGCCTGGGGACTTGAATGATTTCCCTCTTGTATCCTAGGGAGGGAGAAGGAATTCCTGGCTTTCCTTTCTTGCACCATGACTCCAGATTACACATGTATTTATTTACACATCTGCAGGCCTGGCAGTCCCATTCAGGCAAGCCTTTCTTACAGCCATGCTAAAACACTATTGCAGCATAAAATGATGGTGTCTCCAAACATTGTGGACGCATTTACATATACTGCAGGTTTGCTTGTGTGTATTGATCAATAATACGGCGCATTCCACCAGGTGCTGATTACATGTTTAGGTGCCAAGAAGGTGTTAAGTATGCAGCAGGTGTGTGGATGCGCCAGCTGATTGCTTGTACCGCTGGTGAAGGTCATGGATTTAATCAAGCAACACGTCACTTCTCGCAGGAAAGCTATAGATTCTCACATAAGTACAAACACCCACCCTCGCCTGCACACACAAGCGCACACACACGCACATAAATTTGCTCGATGTTTCTGTAAACCAAGGGGCAGCAGAATGGAAAAAGGGGCCTAAAAGTAATGTGAAATGTCCTTATGGCTGGGACTTCTTCCACCTGGATGATGTACTCTCTTGCATACAGACAGTATTTTTAGGCAAATCATTCATCATACAGGAGCCTAGTCCACTGGTGCAAACCCCAAGAGACCCAAAAGAACACCGAAAAAAAGGATATGTGTGCTATGTGTGTGTGTGGAGGAAATAGAAAGTAAAGGAGAAATAAGAAAGGGAAAGGAGTGATAATTCTCAGGGGCTTTCAACTCTTTCCTCCATCCTGTCGGGTTCTAAGGTATAGGGGTGCCTGTGTGCTGTGCTGGTGATCGTGTTTGTGTTCCTGTTGGCTGGGCTGTAGGAGCGCGGTGGAAAAAGCAGCTTTTCTCTAGAGGCCGTGCATCCGGAGAGTCCTGGCTGTCCAGCCAGAGAGGCACAAATGATCCTACTGCTAAAGGACAGACATGGCAACACATGCCAGGCCTGGCGACCGTACAGCCGCCTGATCTAAAACTTTTTGCAAGAATGGCGGCCTGGCCATGTGTGGACCCTATTTCACTGTAACGGTTCTGCTTGCTGCTCTGGTGTTCCACCTGACTTTCATTACAGTTTTTATTAAATGTCTAAGGACATCTTTAACTTTTAATTTTACACCACTGCACACAAAATCTGGGTTTACAAGCTGTTACACCTGTATGCGAACCCTTTCTCACAGTATTTTATTTCAAAATTCCTTATATTTCTAGTACAAACTTCCAGAGCTCTCTGACTTTATTATCCCATTTTGAGGCATAAATAAAAATGGACTGATGGTAATAAATGGATAAAAAGGGCCTGGATGGATGGGCAGACATCTAATCAATGGAGGGATGGAATAACAGAGGGTAATGATGGATAGACAACAGATGAACTATACAACATTCAAACAAGGGGATAAAAAAATAATGTTTGAAAATGAAACATATTTTTCCATATCCTCTTTGTTTCCTGTTCGACATGGAAAATACTGGCATCAAATTTGATGCGTCTTCCAGGCTATATTTGAAATGCGCTCAATAAATTATTTTCCTACAGTCCTGATAAAAATTGCAGGTTCCAATTAATTATTCATGTGGTCACCAAAGAGAGTAAGTGTATTTACTCCAATCGATAGCTCTTAGATATGATATAGTGCTGCTGCTGAAGACACACCCTCAGTCACCAGGCTCTGGTTGAGATGGGAACAGGACAACTTCTTCCCTCGGGAAAACACTGCACATAAAACTGATTGGAGTCTGTTGATTCAATTCCTAACCTATTCTACTCTTTATAAGTCTGAAAATGGTTTCATTAACCTTTCAAGGAATATCAGAAAATGGAAACGCTGTCCCACAAGATTGGGTGATTTACAGCTATCCTAAAGGTTCCACCGATAAATTATACATATATATATATATATATATATATATATATATATATATATATATATATATATATATATATATATATATATATAAATGTATATATATATATATATATATATATATATAAATATATATATATATATATATATATATATAATATATATATATTATATATATATATATATATATATACAATTGTGAAGAGGAAGGAAAGAGAATAATGTAGTTTCAAATCTTTTTTGCTTAACTTTGCAGCTTTAATTTTGATAAACCTGATACCACTATTCACTGAAGGTTTCAGTGGTCTTTATAGAACAGCAGGCAGGTCAGGGGGGAAATTGTGGACAACTCTGAAGCAGGGTTAGGCATGAAAACAAATTCTCAGCTTTGAAGAACTCACAGAGCTCTTCTCAATCCACCATCTGTGATGCATTCACTAAGGTAGTGCAAAACAGTTTAAAAGTCATCCCAATCAATGTTTTTGACTCTGCGACAGACAAAATTGCAACCTGTCCAGGGTGTGCCCCACCTCTTGCCTGAAATGTCCTGCTGGAGATAGGCATCAGCACCCCTCCTGCTAGGGTCCCTAGTGGGACGGATGGATGGATTGTTTTGACTTTTACAAAATAGTTAATTACATTTTATTGCAACTTTATTTATCAGTTTAAGAACTTTTATTTTATTTAATTTAACAAGTTGCACTTGTTATTCTGATATGTGGAAAATGTTTACCACCAACAGCACTACAAAAATCCATCTTAAGATAAAACAAAAAGAATGTTTGGAGATATTTTTTTCTTATTTGCCACATGACTGAAAATGACAAATTAACAACTTTTAGTTTATGTACAGGCCATAAACTAAAAGTAAATAGGAATCCAGGAAATGTTCAAATTTACTGCAACTGAGGTTTTGAGCTTTTCCATAATGATATTGTCTCCTATCAGCACCTACCAGGTTTGTGTTTCAAAGTCATTACTCTCAACTGTATTGAAAAAAAAAAAACTGTTTTGTGTGTTTTGCGCAGATGCCTGATCAGAATACCAGCTTCGTTCTACAACAAAGCTTTATCCTCCATTCCATTCAAGCGTTACTCCTAGTTTAGGCTCTGATTGACCTGTTTTCCTGCTTTTCGTGGCACTTGGTTCAAGTCAAACATTGGCCCGGTCCCGGCTTTAACATAAAGGGCAGAAAGAGGATGTCTATGTGTGTTTGTAAATAGGTGGGGGGTATACTTAGGTTGTTTATGTGTGTTCGGGGAGTGAAGTTGTGTAAAGCTTGCTGGCCCACGGGAGACGAGCTCCATAATGGTCACTATGGCAACAGGCTTTCAAGACGGAGCCCTTGGAGTACCCCTCGAGTGGCACAGCTCCTGGAGCACAGAGCGGTCTGTGTGCTTGCATGAGCACGCATGTGTGTGTGTGTATACAGGCGTTAGTTGAGGCAAGCTATTTAAAAATTGATACATCAAGCGTCAGTGGAGAAATCTAACAAGATTGAGTCTGACGTCC